ATATATATATATATACGACTATATACTTATGACTATATACTTACGACTATATACTACCATAGGGGGAAACCTTAATAATGGAGAGACAATGAAAAGACATGTATGCATATATATTGTATATATAATCAGTAATTCATCATTGGAGAAATGCCAACTTCATGGCGCCACTGAACATTGATCCACCGTGGATATTGACGTTTTACAAATCTCTATTGATTGATTATGTATTTTTAGCATGAGAGTTTATTATAATAATACATGTAGAATTGTGTAAATCCTCATTCAACTTACGAACCTGGGGATTGCTATGGACAACCTTACACTAACAATATTTATCACCAGCATTGTCTCGTGTAATAACTTAGATCTAGGTCTAGTGCGAACTTGAGCAATTAAAGCCTACCTGATAAACACAAGTTAGTGTGTGGTGTGACAATTGTAGTTCACAAACATTCTAGGCAATTGTCATCATTCATAAACCTCAACAATCATTGAACACTCTTAATTCATCATTACCATCATTCATTGTAATGTAACGTAGTTAGATTAACGTTTTACAGACGGGTAGCCATCAGATTGAAAGTGCTCATTTTTTTTTCGTAGTCATCATTTGTTACAAGCTGGCAACAAGGTGGATCCTCATCACCACCTCTTGCCTCACATGAAATGGGCTGTTGCCACGCTGAATTTTGGATTTAAGTGCCAAATTTGACCAAAAATCGTATTTTGAAGCTAGTTCGTCACTGGAAGATTCAATTATATTTGGCATCATACGAATGCTAGTAACATTATCTATCGAATGATGTGTATGATGACACATTTTTATAAAATATTTGGCTAAATTTAATAATACATGTTTTATTAAATAAATACGAAAAATACTAAGCTAACAGCCTTTTCGTCTGATACTTTTTCAAACACTGACCACATACAAAATAAAAATTTCAGAAATGTTGTATTTCAGAGTTACATGCTATATTTTTAAAAAATACTAAGCTAACAAACTTTTCGTCTGAAAATTTTATCAAAAACTTGTGAATTCTCATCACCAAGCCTTGGCTCACCCGGAATGGGTTATTTCCAGGCTGAATTTTGGATTTTAGAGCCAAAGTTGACCCAAAAATGGCACTAGATTCAAAATACAATTTTTGGGTAAAAACGTGTAAAATTTGCCAATTTTTTTTGGTCAAATTTGGCACTTAAATCCAAAATTCAGCGTGGCAACATTTCATTCTGTGTGAGGCAAGAGCTGGTGATGTGGATTCCCCTTGTTGCCAGCTTGTAATAAATGATGCCTACGAAATATTTTCTTTAAAGCACTTTCAATCTGATGGCCACTCGTCTATTATACCGTAGGCCTATTCTGAAAGCACTCAAGTAGTGTACTAGCTATATGTTTACTAGCCATACTAGTTGATTGACTGTATGCACAAGTATGAATTAATAAAATATTTATCATTCATTTTGTTCACCACGCTTCCAGAGATATCGCTCTTCGAGATTTTTTTTGGTTACATTCCATATCGAATAGACTACTTGTTTCCCTTAATTCACGATTCCCCTTTACCGTAAACCATTGGGTCGGGGAGTATTGTTTTGAATTTGTAATCGACAGTATTTACAATAATAAACACATGGAAATACAAACCAATATTATTATGTGTTATCATTATGACCGTATTATTTTTTTAGTTGTCTATCACAGGTAGCATTCATTCAATGAGGGCGTCTTCAAGTTCTGTTGAGGAAATTTGGGGGGAATTTACAAAAGTACCCTCCATTCATGAACTGTTCGTAACGGTATTGTCACTTTTTGCCGTACATATTATATGTACTCCAATAAAGATTTCTTTTTAAAGACTTCGTGATGGTCGCCACAGAGCTCTTCTTTTCAAAACTTGTATTATGTCAATGTAATTGTTTGTGTGCTTCTCTATCGATTTAGGTCTTAGGTGACAGATTTACCCGTTCTTCCAGGAAGGTCTCGACAAAGCTCTAGTTTAGGAAACCAGAGTCTATAAACTAGTCTCAACAAAAATAGTTTAGTATGGTTTAAACAGTATTGCAGAACCAAACTCAGCAGACTGAATCCATGGACTGGAAGCAGTTGCAACTGTTGATATTAAAGCAAGAGTTAGAAATAAGGAGCGAGGGAGCAAACATTTAAAAACAACAACAATAAATATCAATAATATTTATAATAATAATAATAATAATAATAATAATAATAATAATAACAATAGCAATAATAATAATAATAATAAAATATTATTTCAAGACGGTAATCCGTAATTGTCTGCAGTTATCTATTATATCCAGGTCATTACTGAATACTCTTGCTACCCCTATTGTCTCCTTCTTGTGAAATGGTCCTTATGGGATTTTTTTAAATATCATGTTTTCTCTTTCTCTTTACTATCTTTGACAAGTGAATTGCAACTACTGCAATGTCAAAAACCATTAGGTCCTCAAAAAAACACAAACCAAATAAAAAAATGCAATTGATAAGTTGTTTTCATAGAATACCATTTTATTTATTTTCCTTACATTTCCTAAGCTTCTTTCATTTTCCTTCTCATTTTTTCTCTTCAAACAGTCTTTTAACATTATTTTTTTTTAAAACAAATTATTTGAATATTCCTCCTGAAGGAGCACAAAAATGCTAATTGCTTATTGGCAAACTACTATCATTGTTAAATTTCAACCCAAGTACTGGCTAAGCCTTTGATTGCAAGTAACACATCTTTATACAAATTTGAAAAATAGTAAAAAAATATGTAAAGATTACTTTGCTTTTAATTTTACATTTCAGATGTGATTTAACATGTTCCTCATTATTCTGATGGTAGAAAAATCATATTCCATATCTTTTTTTGTTGCATTTTATAAAAACGTCTTTTCCTTACATTTCCTAAACATTTTCCGTCTCATTTCTTTCATTCAAACAGTCTTTTAACATGTTTTTTTTTTACAAATTATTTGAATCTTCCTCCTGAAGACATTCAAGCTGCAAAACATTTGCAAATGAGCACAAAAATATCTTGCTTTTTGCAAGCTTATTGGCAAACTACTATCATGGTTAAATTTCAACCCAAGTACAGAAAAAAAGTACTCAAAGTAACACATTATATTTATACAAACTTGAAAATTGAAGATTACTTTACTTTTAATTTTACACTTTTAACATGTTCATCATTATTCTGATGGTAGCAAAATCATATTCCATATCCTTTTTTTTTCATTTTCCCATTTTATATAAACAATTGTAATAACAGTAGTAACATAATGAATAATACTGTAATGATTACTTTAAAAGACAACATTTCAATAAATAGTATAATAAATATAATGATGAACTAATAGTTTTAGTACAAAACTTTGGCTTTTGTTTGAATAATTACTTGTACACCCTTTTTATCATTAGGATAATCAAGCTATGTATCACAATAATATATATATACTGTTCTTATATGCATAATCTATTGACACGTACATAGCTGTATACATACATACATCTTTATTATCTAATCAGCCATCTAGCATGGAATGAATTTTTAGATCAGCTAATCGGTTGGCACGTCTGTCCCGCTGTATGCTCTCTCGTAGTTCTTGTAGTTTATCTTCAATTGTTAATTCAACTGCTGGAAAATGATTCATTCCTCTACCAACCTTCAAAATTCAAGAAACAATAATTATTTGATTAAGAATGGATGAAATATGAAAAATGAAGATATGAATAATAACTTAAAGTGTGGGTGTGCATTTGTGTTAGAAGTGGCAAATATAGGACCGACCCCCACCCACCCACTTTAACACTTCCTGGTGGCAAATTGAGCAGTACAAAGGAAATTGTATAATTTAGTAAATAAATGTATTTACATATAATTCAAATGATGGGGTGAAGTCTGTCATCATATCTTTGTTGTAGGTGCATTCATCGTTAGTACATTCAGCCAAAAGCTTATCCAATCTATAAAAAAAATTAAAATATTAATTGTCATCCAAAGTCCCCTGTTGTAAACAACTATGGTGATATTATAAGGACTTGAATCCAGGTATCCAGGTACTAATAATACAATAGTAGCAGTCATAATAAAATTAACAACAACAATAATAATAATAATAATAACTAGCACTTACTCGAGGATTTTCCCCTTAACATCGTTTTCTTAATTGTTCTCCACTTTCTCCACTAAGTTCTCCTTAAGGTAGGTTTTAGTAACATAATAATAATAATAATAATAATAAAAATAATAATAATAATGAGTCCCTGGGGACCCACGACAGCCGCAGTGCAGTACCACTCGACCTTAACTACAACATAAAACAGATACTAGATATGGGCCTTAACTCGCCTACAGTGACTCTCCTACAGGGTACTCAAGGAGCTGAGCATTTTTTTCATTTTTTTTATAAAAGACTCAAATTTAATACTCGGCTGCAGAGCTGGGTTTTTGAACCCGGGCCCTGGCATGCAAGAGGCAGGAACCATACCAATCAGCTAAACAATCAGCCAAACGCTCAGGCAAATATCATAAACGTTGGAAGATGTGTTAGCCTTTGGGAAATTTTTGCTTGCTTGCTGGAGTCTGTTGTGATAATGACTTCTGAGATTTGGGACCCCTGTTACTGATGATACTCATAACACAAATAAAAGACATTATCCTCTACCTATCAATTTCTTCTTTTTCTTTCATCATTTCACATTTGAAATCTTCAACTGTCTCTGAAGTTTCCTTCATTATGGGAATTGTTGCTGGAATGACCTTGATCTGTTTACGAACAACTCCATCTGTTTCATCAAGCAGAACGCACTCAGCCCTCTTCTTATTAGCACTTGCATAGAATGACTTGCTTATGCTTGTAGAAAAAAAAATGATGATGTTATTTAACGTATTAGAAAAATTAATGACCCCCAGGCTACCATTGTTTAACAAGACTAATGAAAAAAAGAAAAAAAAAAGATTTAAAATCCTTACCTTTCAGGATGGAGCTTGCTGTCATCAGCTGTGTCTTTAGTTGCTTCCTTCCAGACACTTGGTGGCTTGTAGTTATTCAAATCAGATTCAAAGTAATAGACTAAGAATAAATGAGGGTCTGAATCCAAGTCTATAAAAAATAAAAAGTCACCTCCTTTTAAAATTCATGGCATGGTGATCTGGTTAATAATTTTTTTCAGGGTTTTCTGGCCTTCAAAACCGTCTATAGAAAGCATTGTATTATTTGTCTTTATAAATTAACTGTTTGTTTGATTCATTGATTGATTGACTGATCAACATATGGTGATTGATTGACATATGGTGGTTGGCTGTCCAGAATGTGGTCTGCAAGTAATTAAGATTATATAGCTTTTCTATATTTTTTCAGTATGTGGCTACTCACTGGCTTAGTTCAAATCTACAGTGTAGTTTGTATTTAGGTGTAACAGCAAGGATGTAGACATGCACATTGGAGTTGTATAGCTTAGTGGTTAAGATGCTTGCATTCTAATATCAGGGTCCTGGGTTCAATTCCTTCAACAGTAGGACTTTTTCTCTCGACTAAAAACAATTCCACTCCCTAAGCCTCATAAAAAGACTTTGCTGATAAAAGAATCACATTATTTCATCTATTTAAAGCCCCATTCCCGGCAATATTTCACTAAAAACTGACTTTTTTTAGAAAATATGCATTTGCATTACTCCAATTATTATAAATCATGGAAAAATATTGGCATGAATTTTAGTTTTACACAAAAGAATAAAAAAATGAGAAATACAAACTATTTCTCATAAAATATTACCATTTTCTCGACGAATTCATC